GTTGTAATGCTTCAAATTATATTACTAATCAAACGCGTACAAATATTTTAATATATTTGTTCTTAACCTGCCTTTAAAGAGAATATGAACTCAGTCATATATCATCAATGAATTAATACTCGAAATAAAAAAATTAATTTTTATATAAACACGCGAATGTGATGATGATGATTGTGTGAATAATGAAAAGCAGCTAGCAGTTGGTCCAAAATAATATTTTGGAGCAATAACTAGTTACGGTGGACCGTATGACCAATTATTTTTACCCTTACCGCAGGAAAATAGACCACACAGCATCGGGGCATTAACAAACCATCATTCTCCCCCTTGTTGATTATACGAATATAATTATTTAATAATAATCTTACAAGGATACTGTCTCTCGTAAAGAAATAATTATCCGGAGATGATCCAAACTAAGATAAAGGGCAAGGTTCTGAACCAACAAACAGAGAAACAGAATTATTAAATAAAGACTGTTGCCAGTCATTTATTCAACGTCAATCCAACTGCCTACGTGATGCTCAGATCAATGCTCATCAAAATAATGCACGTCGGCCTATTTATACATAGTAGCGGAATGCGAAACTTACTCCACTACTTCAGTTACAAGTGTCTTTGTTTTCGTACATCGAGGATTCTAGAACGCCGTTTTGCCTGTGAACTCTTGCAATTTTCGATGTATTTCGCTTTAATATTTACTTCTGTTTTTATAAATCAATAGAATTTTATCAGTTTCGATACATCCAATTAGTTATTAAACGGAGTAGTCGTAGACTTACAATTATTTTATAGATATCTACTCATTTTCAATGACTTATACTTATACGAATAATGCAGCGAATATTATCAATCAACATCGATGAAAGTCAAACGTAGCTGTTTTTCAAGTTATTTGTATTATTTACAAATGTTCACGATAACTGCATGAATTTGTTTAATTACATTTCTTAGCGTTCATTGCTTTTTATTTCATATAATACGTATATCGGCTTAATAACTAGTTTTTTTGATAACTGTAATGTTAAACTGTTATCAACGTTCAAATTCTCTTTAATTGTAATTTTGGTAAATTATTATTAAGAATGTTATTCGTTTGGCTATTTACAAGCAACCAGTGTAATCATCAAGGATAAAGACAGACCGCTAACAATATCAGCTCTTTACTGTTCTCGAAACAAAACAATTACAAAAGAAAACTGGACTGACTTTTTATCAACTCCAAAATACAGAGGCAGAGTACTCTATGAAATACTATAAAAAAATAACTATATTCCGATATCCACTGGAGAACCAACATACTAGCCTACAAATATAAACAAGCTTCTGGATTTGATTGAATTTTTTATAGTAGAAGGTATAAACAAAAATTATTTTGAAGTATCACCGTGCTTAGATTTATCATCAGATCGTTCACCGTTACTAATTACTTTACACCTCTAAGTATTTAATGAAATAAACAATAACATAAAACTCGATTGGAAAAAATATGCTCTTTACACAGAGGAACGCATAACGTGCAACGTTTCTTTTAAAACAGCTATTAATATAGAAAGCAGCATCAACTCACTCAACGTAATCGTAACTAAAACTATTAACAAATGTTCTACTACAATAGAGAATAGTACGATAGAATACTATAATAGGAATAAAATACAGCAAATCACATCCACTAAAATAACCTAAAAAAACAAAAAAATGAGATTATTATAGAAAAGGTATCAAATAACTAGATCGAATCTAGACAAAATTATAATAAATAAAACAACCAAAGATCTAAAGAAAATGTTATATGAAGAAAAAAAAAACACAAATGCAGAATCTGATGTGCATTTGTGTTATTTAAGATCATTGAATCCTACAGAAGCAACAGATTATTCATTATGGAAAGCTACTAAACGACTTAAAAGACCAACTACATTTACACCTCTTATCAGAAAACCTGGTAGTAACTAGGCAAGATCGGACGAAGAAAAAGCTGAAACGTTCGCAAATCATCTTACAATTAGTACATTATTCAAGTCTCACCAAAGAATAATCGACGAAGAAGAAAAATCTCACTAGAAGGCTCTGACGTCCAAGACAGTACACCACTCAAATCGATTAAAATTAAGGAAAAATGATCAAAATGTTATCCCTAATTGCAATAAGATATTTAATAATTGTTTTTAATGCATGCTTGCGTCTCTGCTATTTTCCTTCCCAATGGAAAGTAGCAGAGATTGTTTTATTACCTAAACCCGGTAAAAACCCAGAACTGGTAACGTTATATAGATCGATTAGCCTTTTATCAGCACTTTCCAAAATCTTTAAAAAATTAATTCTAGCTAAAATTAACCCAATAATATTAAATAGAAAACTTATCCCTGATCATCATTGGTTTCAGGAGTAACCATTCCACGATTGAGCAAATAAATAGAATAGTATCTGTTGCGAGGAAATTCATCGAAGATAAACAATACTTTACTGGTATACTCCTGGATATTTCCCAGGCTACTAACAAAGTTTGGTATAAAGGGCTATTACACACGCTCAAGAAATATTTTCCTCAGCTCCACTACGAATTATTACAATCTTATCTACACAATAAAGTCTATCAAGCTAAAATAAATAAAAATTTATTACCTTTAAAATTGATTTAACTCCTGGAGAATAATAGTAAATGAAAGCAAATCGATACATATAACATTAACACTTCAAAAAGATACCTGTTGTAGTAGATTAAGCGAGAAATATATTTCGCAAAGTAATCAAGTAAATTATCTAGATATTCACCTAGACCGAAGAGTTACATGGAAAGAACATATATTCACTAAACGTTAACAGTTGAGTCAAAAATAGAGGAAAATATCCTGGGTCATCGGAACAAAATCGAAGCTGTCAATTAAAAGCAAACTGCTGCTATATGAAGCTGTACTTAAACCAATCTGGACATATAGCATTCAACTGTGGGTACTGCTTCTAACTCTAATTTAGAAAACCTAGTAAGATTTCAATCGAAAGCCCTACGCAATATAGTACGGGCCCCGTGGTTCATACCGAATGAAATTATCCAAAATGATTTATAGATACCTACCGTCAAAGAAGAAATTAAAAATTTCTACTCAAAATATAACTCTAGACTTTAAAACCACCCAAATAAACTTATTAAAAATCTTCTCTAGGCATCCATTGTCAAGACCAGACTGAAAAATCATAAGCTTATGAACGTACAAGTAAATTAACATAATCATTTCAATCATACTGTAAAACAAAGACATTATACTTGCTGTAGTATACTGCTGTTTATTATATAAATATATGTCTAATAACAACAAAATTTGCTTATTGTCTTTATACGTGAGACAGATTTTAAGATTGTAAATAGACTTGGAGTAATAATAATAAAAAAAAATTCCTTCAATGCTAACAGAACGTAGTGAAAATACATAAGTGGCAGCGGACTTTAGATACATAGGTGGGAGCAGAGTGCTTTCACAAAATTCATACTCATAGGTGTGCATCGGGTACGCTGCTATGCACAATTTGTCAGTTTTGGTTTGTAGGAACACGTATTTGTGAGTTCTGTGAGTCGATCCTTTCCCAGTCTGTGGAAAGTTGCGAATTGTGCAATCTTTTGTGAGAAAGCTTATTTTAAGCTTTCTTATAAAATGTTTTTCCGCTGATATCTCATTGTCTAGTGTCTCTGATAACTTGGGATATAACACTTACAGGTCTACAATTTAGAATAAATAAATTGAAAATAAATCCTTTGCACGTTAAAAAATGTTAAAACTATCCAAAACTGGAAATTAGAGAAACTGTGGTAAAAAGTATATTTTATATAATTTTTAGAAAATCTTTACAGACGTCATTTTATATGTAAAGGAGTTCGGCCAATAAACTGCGAATTGATCATACCTGTGGTCGTCTGAACAAATTATTCAAAAGGGATAGGCGAGGTCTGTCCCAAAAGTATCCGACCTACCTCAATTTCTCGTCGCTTGACTTAATCTTCGTCATGCGGGTGGGAAGGGAGGGTGGCATTCTTCCAAGTAGTCCCTATTTGATTGGATAAGGCGCTCATATTGACGTTACCGCTTATTAAAGCACTTTTGAAAGTCACACTTCTGAACGGCCTTTAGTGTATTCGTCACATTAATTTCAACAGTCTCTTTATCGTCAGACCAATGTTAAGCCATTTTAAATGGCATTTTCAATCGAGGAAACAGCCAAACGTCACAGGGAGCTATTTCAGGTCTGTATTGGAGGCTGACTGACCTACGCAACACTGTGTTTTAATAAATACTGATGCATAAGATTTGATGAGTGCACTGGAGCATTTTCGTCATGAAGAAGCCAGTCACTGGTTTCTCAAAGTTATGATTGTTTTCTCCTAATGGCATCACGCAATATTTACAAAACTTCAACGTAGTACTCTTTGTTGATTATCTGGCTTGTAGGAGCATATTCCTGGTGCATAATGCTCTTATAATCGAAAAAAAACAATTAACATTGACTTGATATTGCTTCGACTTTAACGGGCTTTTTACAGCCGAGGTTCTGATGGAAGTTTTCACTGTGAAGATTGTTAAAGGCCTTTTGCAACATTACATTAGTTCCGACACAACTTTCACCAAAATTAAAGCAAAATTTTATGCAAATTCGCTGTTCGGTTCGGCCTGCCATTTTTAGCAATAACTTCGATTATGAAGTGAAAGTATTTCGGTCGTTACTATTGTACGAATTAGCTATTTGAGAATATATCTGGGAATAACCAGTTGTATGTTAATTTAACCTCGTAACGTAAATTAGTTACTGATTATGAATTAAATAAATATTCTCACAATTCACTCTTTAAATATTTCCTCCAATGCGTATCCATTGTGAAAAATTAAAAATTCGAAATAAAAATTGATAATTTACATAAATTAGAATGAAATCACTCAGTTTCACTTCCGATTATAAATGAATAGTATTTCTATTACTGCTCATATTAATGTAAAAATATTATTATTCAGGTGCTCAAACTACTATCATGTCATCAATTTGCGCAGAAAGATGTAATATAATGAGATTAGTGGATTCACGTTGGTCAGGCGTTGCTAAAGGAGTTGGGATTCAACGCATAATAGGACGCATCCACATGGTTGAAATTCAAATAGGATGTGATCATTTAACGACATCTTTCAGTGTACTTGAAGAGCAACCAATGGATATGTTATTAGGTTTAGATATGTTGAAACGTCATCAATGCTGTATTGATTTGAAAAAAAATGTTTTGATCATTGGGACAACTGGAATGGAGACTCCTTTTTTAACAGAGGGTTTGTAATTATTTTTATTAAAAATTTTTATTTATCATAGAAATTATTTTTGTTAAGTTTACACTGTAATGCTGTGCATTACAAGACTAATGTTCTGGAATTTACACATCTTGCAACACTCTATAAAAATCGCCGTTGTCCTACCACGCCTTGTAGCTGGCCGAGTAATATTTGACAGACTGTAATTTAGCCGGAACATCTTTTCTTTTGTTTATTCCTCTACCTACGTCCAAGGACACAACGGGACAAAGAAAAGTCGCGATTAGACGGCAATCGATCGATAGAAGGAGCAGTTGACACAAAAAAGGAACGCATGCCAGTAGTTGGAGCTATGGGGATCTTGGTCTACTTACCATGCGGGTGTTATCCCACTTATCTGTGGGTCCCATGCTTTGTTATCGGCAGTTGTTTATCGACAATCAACTAGCTTGGCTGACATTGCTTCTTACCGACTCTTGTGTATCGACATGCAGGCCCCCGCCTCATGCCCCATGGCCCATACCCAGTTATTATAAAAAATAATGTGATTGAGCAATGAAGGAACAAGTTGATAATAATTTGTATCTTTATTTATTTATATAATATATTATGCTATATGTGGATGATTTTTTATATCCTTCTGATTTCGGTATGGATCTGGTGTTGGTGAAATAATTTTCAGTAAATGATTTCCACTGAGAAAACTTTTATTTTTATTATTTGAACTCTTACTTAGAGAAACGTGTGTACGATACATAACATATGTTGCCTTATATTGAAAAACCGATGATTCTGATTTGAAAGAAATAATATGTGAAGGTAATTACTGTTTTTTTAATTTAATAAAATGTCAGAGTAGTCTTCTATGAATTTCATATCAAACTCTTCTCAGTGAATATATCATTTTATCCATCCAATGTTTCTAAACGAAATTTTAATTTATATAAAGTGTCATGTATATTTATAAGTTCTGCTCAAAGAATATCCTGAACAGTCTTTGAATAAAGCATTATTAGAATGTATAGCAGTACCCATATTACAGAGACGATTATTTTCTAAGTCATATTAATTCTTGTCTGTAATTTTATATCCTACTCATATACCATGGGAACCACGATTACGCTTAGACCCATCCAGTTGACGTCCGAACACATCAATGCTCATAGTTAAAATGAATAAGACGAAGACAATCCAAGTTATTTAGAAACAAGTCTTATTTATTTTTGATAAGAAAATTATTACACATTATATTGATGAGTATAGTTATACAAGTTTTACAACATTACTACTAATAAGATTTTACTTAGTCTCACGATCATGCAAAATCAGACAATCAGCAGCTGTTCCCTATTGTATTTTATCTTTTATTTCGACCTCTAGACGTACTTCAATGGTAGCTTGTTTTAATACCTCGTTTTGAATAGTTTATTACTAATAACGGTGCGTGAGTTTTAAATTGCTTTCTGTCAAAAAATTGGTTGAATATATAATCTTTATTGTAATATACATGTTGAAATTGTGCATACGTATCGTATAACATGGAATATTCATCATTATTAATGTCAAAATTCAAATTACTATATGGATATTGCTGAAAATTGTGAAAAAATTTTACATTTGTTACATAACCATGATCAAAATTTCTATAATTTTTTGTTTCATCAGATTTTCGTTTAGTCTGAAAACTTAGTACAACAAACCTTGGTTTTTCTAATAGATTTGATATTTTACTGTTTAAATATGTTTAGATATTTGAGGTAGTTCTAGATATTCATAAAGCTTCCCCGATCTAAGACTTATAAAAATATGTGCATCTTTTCTGATAACGTAGCGTAACTGTATCTTATGCCTATATGAGATAATTACATAAGGCATTAACCACTTAAGATGTACAAGTTCTATTTTGAGACTTACTTATCTTCATTGTCAATTCTGACCTGCTTTTGTATAATTGCATTCAGATTATCTCTCGATCGCGTAAAAACAAGTTCATATTGAAGGTTCACAAGAATTTTTTGATAATCTTCAACAAAGCCTAAAATCTTTCAAAGTGATAATGATACATCAAAATTACCATTCTGATCCATTATATTTCTAGTTTCTTCAATATTAGACCATTCTGCATATTCAAGAAATCTACTATGATTCTGATTGAATGAAATTATATGTACTTTTCATAGTGTTCGTCAATTCAACATTTTTGCATAAGTCTATTTCAATGGCATTAATTTCATGGTAGGGATAATATTTTCAAATAGGCATAATATCTCTAAACAAATGACACATTGTATTATTTACAAACTAGGGACCAGTTACAGCAGTACCATCGCCTCTTCGAAAATTTTCTACAATATGTAGAAAACTTTTTGATTCAAAAGACATAAAATCTTGATGTTGGATTGATATTCTGATTTCGTCACTATTTTTAAAGTTTTGCAAGATGTAAAGCTGGTGTGCATGAAGTTCGTAATAAGCAACAGACTCATCGAAGACGATTTGTAATACATTTCTTCTATTTTTAAGATGACAATTTTACAATAAAAATTTACACTAAAAGTGATAATAATTCAGTGCAATTATTGCAAATCAAAGGTGGAAAACCCTTGAAAGTTACAGTCGGATCAGTTGAAAAGCCAAAAGAAACATTCTTTACGATAGAGGATTTTCAACATATTTGTACAACCTTCAATCTAAGTTACAAAGTTACAAGTGGAATTGCAACAGCAATCCGTACAGTAAACAAAAATGCAAGAATTATTAAACCACATTTGAAAAGGAAACTGTTAGATAAAAATCACATATTAGATGATTTATTTGTTTGCAAAGTTTTTGATTTGAAACGTAACGTTGGTGGTATTATTTCTATTGCTAGTGAGACTTTGATATACGAGGTGTGATCAAAAAGTAAGGTGAATTTTGAAATTTAGCGGGCTACGTCCGTTCGATCTTCGACTTTTTTATTTGGTTATGTCGGTACACTCGTCTAGAACATACGTTCCAAATTTCAGCTTTGTAGTATGTTTGGTTTGTTTGTGAGAGGCATCAAGGTTAGAAGTGTTTTGCGTGCTCCACGATTTGCTGCTGTCTAAAAACATGGATCAAAGAGTTTGCATTAAATTTTGTGTGAAAAATGGAATCAAATGTTCCAAAACACTTGAAATGCTGAAAGTGGCATACGGTGAGTCTACTTTAAGCCAAAAAAATGTTTACAATTGGTATAAACTCTTCCAAGAAAGCCGAGAAGACACCGACGACGAACCTCGTTCTGGACGCCCCAGCACATCAACAACTGATGAGAATGTTGAAGAAGTGAAGAAAATAGTGTTGGGAAATCGTCGAATTACCATTAGAAAAATTGCTGATGATATTGGCATCTCATTTGGTTCGTGCCAATCAATTTTGACGAGTGTTTTAGACATGAGACGTGTGTCAGCGAAGTTTGTTCCGAAATTGCTCAATTTCGACCAAAAGAAACGTCGCATGAGCATCGCCCAAGAGCTACTGAATGACGTCAACGATGATCCAGATTTACTGAACAGGGTTATAACAGGTGACGAAACATGGGTATACGATTATGACGTCGAGACTAAGACTCAATCGTCCCAGTGGAGGCATTCTGGATCACCAAGACCAAAAAAAGCACGCCAAGTTCGATCAAATGTAAAGGTTTTGCTTACAGTTTTCTTTGACTGCAGGGGCGTGGTGCATCATGAGTTCTTGCCACAGGGTAGAACAGTAAATAAGGAATATTACCTGCAAGTTATGCGCAATTTGCGCGAAGCAATCCGCCAGAAACGTCCGAATTTGTGGAAAAATAAAAATTGGCTTTTGCACCATGATAACGCCCCTGCTCACACATCGTTGCTTGTGCGCGAATTTTTGGCTAAAACCAACACAGTAACGATGCCACAGGCACCGTATTCCCCAGATCTGGCCCCCTGTGACTTCTTCTTGTTCCCAAAACTGAAGAGGCCCATGAAAGGACGGCGTTTTGCCACGATTGAGGAGATAAAGACGGCATCGAAGGATGAACTAAACAAGATCACAAAAAATGATTTTTTGAAATGCTTTGAGGATTGGAAAAAGCGTTGGCATAAGTGCATTATATCCGAGGGGGATTACTTTGAAGGAGATAAAATAAAAATTGATGAATCAATAAATATTTTTTGAGAAAAATAAAAATTCACCTTACTTTTTGATCACACCTCGTACTGCATTAATTTAGAGAAACTAATTGAATACGTTACTGAATCACGCAATATTACATCAAAACATTTGAAATTTAGTATTGACGGTGGAGATGGCTTTTTGAAAGTTTGTTTGAGTGTGCAGTGTACTATTGAAAATGATGTTAATGTTTCTCAAAAAAAATGTATTCGTCAATCGTACAAAGATGGAATAGCGGCTAAAAAGTTACAAGACTCAAGTGTAAAGAAACTATTTACTATAGGTTTAGCTAAATATGTTCAAGAAAATTACGAAAACGTAATAAGTCAGAGTTAGATATAAATAATTTTGAGGGAACTATCGCAACCGATTGAAAGCTCGTTCTTGTCGGCGTGTTGTCTCGCTCGAACTTACATCCATGTTGTTGGTGCTATGCGGATAAAAATAATCTCGAGCAAGTTGACGATGTTCGTAACTTTCAAATCATAGAAAAAAGTGCACATCAAAAAATGTTCCTTTTTTTATTTAGAATATTGTGAAATTTTCTGAGATTTAAAAAAAAATGTCGCCATTTTTTCTATAGTTGGAGAACAAAATTGTGTAAATGTATGTATGTGTGTGTGTGTGTGTGTGTGTGTGTGTGTGTGTGTGTGTGTGTGTGTGTGTGTAAACCGCTATTATTGATTTGTAAACCGCTATTTATGAGTGGCCTAATGATGAGATTGAAATCAACACTTGTATGATGTAGTGATATAACTGTAACATTTATTCATAATATGTACATTTTAACAAAAGCAAAAAATATCACAGTGAACGCATGGAATTAAAACTAACCTGAATCAATACAATTGCCG